GCTGGACCGTGCTACTTCTGAAGTTTCCCGGGAAGGTCCTTCTTTGTCTCTTCCAGCTCCTGGTGGCCTCCGGCATTCATTGCCTCGTGGTAGCATCGCTCCAGTCTCTGCCTCCATCTTCTGGCCGTGTCCCCTGTGTGTCTCTCCCTGTACAAGAGCACCAGTCATCTTGGGTCCTGGCCACGTCCCCTGTCTCTCCCTGTACAAGAACACCAGTCATCTTGCGTCCTGGCCACGTCCCCTGTCTCTCCCTGTACAAGAACACCAGTCATCTTGGGTCCTGGCTGTGTCCCCTGTGTCTCCCTGTACAAGAGCACCAATCATCTTGGGTCGGGACTAATGTCATCTGCAAAGGCCCTGACCAGGGGTTAGGACTTGATCGTATCTTCTGGGGGACACAGGGAAACCCACACAGATGAAAATGTAAATAAAGGACAGAAGTCTTCAGTGGGCTTCATTGATCACCTGCTGCTGGGTAGTAAGCCTGCAGAACAGAGGCTGAGTTGGTCCACGTGTCAGAGAGCAGGAAGCAGCGTCAGGAAGAAGGAACAGATCCAGGAATCGGAAGGCAGGAGGGGCAGAGGGAGACAGACAGGACTTTTTTGGAGAAGGGATCAACAGCAAAGACACAGGCCGCAGCCTTCCGGTGTGAGATGTGGGAGAGGTAGATGGGTGGCGAAAGGAGGAAGGGGCGGAGTTTGTCTCTACGTGTCCAGGGGAAGAGGAGGAAGAGGGTGGAGCTTGTTTCCCCGTGTATTGGGTAGTGAGGCCTTGCCGTTGTCACATGTTGTGAGCCTTGGCATCCAATTGATGTTTATTTTGAATGTGACTTTTAGGGGTGGCAGCAGGAGGAGTCATGAGTTACTCATTTGCACACGTTTATCGTACAGTGTGACGTGTGCAATATTAGAAGTGTGTACAGAGACACCAACTGCTCGGAAAGCTTGCTGTCCTTGGGTCGGTGCCGACGGGAAGTCGCAGAAAAGCCTTCCGGGTGGCTCTCGGAGGGTGTCATGTGCTAGCAAGGGGCAAGTGGTGTGGAGGGGCTTCTAAGCAGAGAACCGCCCCAGGCAAAGCCACAGACACTGAGAAGCAGGGCAGGGTCAAGGGCACGCCTGGGGGAGGGACGGACCAGCGCCAGCGTGGCAGGGGTGAAGGGCCTGCAGGCCCCTAGTGTGGACTTCCCGGGGAGTCATGTTGGGTGAGAGGCTGTGGTCGCCGAGTGCGACGGGCGGAAGTGGGTCTGTCGTGGTGGGCCTGGCTGCCGCCGGAGCTCCACGCGGCGGGCAGCTGCGCTGGGGCTGTGTTCAGCAGGAACATGCCCCTGAGCCTGGGCGCGCGCCTGCCTGGAGCCCCGCCCCTCCCCAGCCCTGGCCCGCTGCTTCCAGCCTCTGTGTACCCCCTGGCTCCCGACCCGCCATCCTGGAGATAACACGGTTCACACGTTGGATCAAGTGAGAAGCTCGTACAGAGAAGCTCGTACAACGCCCTTGGCCTTGAGCTCAGAGGGTGTTGCCTTTCCACGTGCGCCGCAGATGACGGAAGCGAGGGGGAGATGACAGACAAAGCGCGCAAGTGCGCGTGCGCATACCCAGAGAACGGTGCGGGCGTTTTCAGGCAGCCCAGGGCTCACCAGGCCGGAAGTACGTCACTCGCCGGGAGTGTGGCAGTGCTGGGCTTTCCCGGCCTCGGCCTGTTCTCGAGGCGCCTCCCCTCCCAGCTTCCTTCGCTTGCACCGTTGACCCCCAGCCAGCCGACCCCTGTCTTGTGTTACCAGCATGGCTCAGGGTCTCCTCAGGACAGCCCTGGTCCGCTGCCCAGCCCCCGCCCGGCTGTGCTGGGGGCGCGCCCAGCGAGGGGCCATCTGGGGTCCTGATGCGCGTCTCCCCTTGTTGTCGCAGGTGCTGGCCTGGACGGAGTGGAGGAGATTAAGCGCCATCCCTTCTTCGGGACCATAGACTGGAACGTAAGTTCAGGTCCCGCCCCTCATTGGCCGCAGGTGAGAGGTCAGCGGGTGGAGGTGACAGACGGCTGCGTGTCCCAGGCGGGCTCCCGTCCAGGAGGAGCGCCCCGCATGGTGTAGACCGAGGGCCGGGGTTCAGAGGCGCGGCAGTGGCCGCCCCTCCCTCCGCGCCTGCCCTTAGCTTCGCTCCTCGGCTGGTCGCAGACAGGGCTTCTGCCGGCCAGCCCCGGGGACGGGAGTCCCCCACTGGCCCAGGGGTCCACTTGCAGGCCCCGCCCGGGGCCCAGGCTGCACCTCTCCTGTCAGGTAGTGTCTTGGGGCGCCCTCCCGGCTCGCCTCCCAGACGCACGTCCTTGTGACTGCGGTCAGCTGTCCAGCCGCCCGCCTCGTGGCACCCTCTGCGCGCAGAGCCGATCGCTGCCCGTCCTGCGCCTGCCCCTTGACGGGCTGCAGATAGGATCATTGGATCCACAGGGTTTTCACAGACTGATCTGATCAGATGGCAGGCCTATCTCTCTCTCTAGTCTTCACAGTGTAGAATCGCCACTGAGACCTGTTCCCCATCATCCAGCCTCCTCTTACAGATGGGTGGTGGTTGCCTGAGGTCCACTGGCCGGGAATCAAACCTGGGTCTCTTGGAGGGAAGGTGGGAATTCTACACCAGAACCACCACTGCCCCGATCACGCTTGTCAAGACCCGTAGGAAAGCTGGTGCGTGGTGGTAGGTGATCTTAAACAGGAGCTTTCTTCCGGGAGCTTTCTCTGTGGCCCCATTCCATGTGCTTCGCTCTGGACATTGTGGACAGTCCCTTCCTTCATCTCGGTCCTTAACAGCCTGTCTGTGTTGACCACTGTCTGCCAAGGGGCCACCTCTCTGCAAGCGTTGCTGCAGTCAGCTTTCCAGTGTGCCCAGGGACCAGCTGGGCTACACGAATGCCTGGCACCGCCAGAGCCAGGCCTGGTCATTGGGCCTGGACCACCTCTCACTGCTTTCCCTTAGGTTAACACAAGGACACAGAGTAGGAGACAAAAGACTAAACCTATGAAATCAGTCTCAGAGGATTTGAGTGAATGTTTCAAACACTATAAAGCCCTTTCTAGGACAGAGTGTATTCTCTCTGTTGTTTCTCATCTCTTGCTTGTTGTACATCTTTATGGACTTGGGCAAAGACAGCAGCAGTCGCAGCCCCATGGCTTCCGTCTTGCCTGGGAAAACGTTCTAGCCGAGTCCTGGATGAGCAGCATCACCAAGCCTGTCCACCTTCCGCGTTACAGCGTATGCCCCTCTCTCAGCCCGAGCCAGAAAGGCAAGCAGACCGGGAACAGAAGGACTTTTTCTAAACCTGGTTTCACCAGGCTGATGCTCACTCTGGGAGGTAAGAGCGGATCTCTTTTCAAGGGTCAGATTAGAGAGAGGCATGTAAATGGGGGATATCTAAGCTCCCAGCCAAGCAGAAAAGCTTGTTCGAATACCAAGAGAAATCGAGCCGTCTGTTACAAAGGAGAGCAGAAACTGTCCTGGGTGAGAGCCACCGTTCCCGGGCGGCTTGTCTCGTTCTGCTTGCCGGAAGCCATGCTGATCAGCTTGGGTGGGCCTTGCGCTCCTGTCTGGTCAGGGGCCTGTAAGGTGGAATTCCTGTCTGTGAAGACCTTACCGTGTGCAGTGGCTGATCTTAGATGAGCCTGCTTACCTGTGATGGGTCTCGCGTGGTCTGCAGGACGCTACCCAGCAGTACAACCAGGGGAGCAGTGGAAGCTGCCCTGCAGGGGGAACAAGAAAGCCAGCTGCCGTCATGTCAGCGCCAACTCACCGTGACCCCGTGTGTATCTAGCAGAACTGCTCCGTCGGTGGCTGGTTTTCACAGCAGATCGCCAGGTGTTCCTTTCAAGGCACCTCCATGTGGACTCGAACTTCCAGCCTTTGAGGGAGTGGCTGAATGCCTAACCGTCTGCACCTTCGGGCTCCCTGAGGAGGGTGCCACCTCCTAGTAGGGCTCGCTGAGGCCTGTGCCTGGCGTCTGCACTTGGGTTAGTGCGTGCGGACGCATACTGCCGTTCAGCGGAAGACGTGTGAAGTTCATCCTGTCCTAAGTGCACCAGGAGAACTCACTCATTCAGGGAGGGTGGCAGGGGCCCTCGTGTGTGCTGAGTGGTTGCCCGTGGGTTGGGAGGTTTTGTGATGAGAATACGTCACCTGGAATCTCACGCAAAGGGGCTGAGCCTAGGCAGGCACGTTCTGCCCTGTGCAGTACTGACACCTGGGGGCGGCCTGTGCTTCAGAAATCGCCCACCCTCCCCCTCCTCCTGCCGCCCTCACTTTGCACCTCAGGACTCTGGCCTGTCAGTGGGCACTCTGCCATATCAGCACATCGGTGCAGAGCTCTCCGAGGGAAGCAGGTGGCAGGGTCTGTTTCTCCGTGAACCTGCAACAGGTGTGTCCTCACAGGAGTGTGTTTCTGGGGAGGTATGGAGAGGAACTGTTCTTGAAAGCTCTCACAGGGCTGAATGCAACCTGTTTCTCCTCTGAGGCCCAGAGGCCTACCCTAAGCCCAGGCAAGTGCCCTCAGGGCCTTTGCCCCTCACGTCCGAGCGGGAGCTCCACATCAGGGTGGGTACCTGCCCCCCAGCTGCTGCCAGCCTCCAGGGCGGTCCGGGTCCGGCCTGTGTACTAAGCACCAAAGCCCTTCCCCTCCGTCCACCAGCCATTCCGCAGCACCAGGCGCAGCTGTGCGTGTGAGGAGAGCCTCCCTCAGGCGTCAGGGGCTCAGATGTCAGCCCACGCTGCCTCTTCTCGCCCGGACTGTGCACAGCTTCCTTAACCTGCCCCGGCCTGATGCCTCATCTGCACAGTTGGAAGGCCACGGTCTGCTTCTCTGTCACCGCAGCTATAGACCAAAGTTAGGCTGGGGCGGCAAAGACCCAGGTGCCTGACTCACCTGACCCTGGCAGCCATCCGACCTCTGAGCTGCCCTCCAGACCCATTGAAGCCCCCAGCCAAGGCAAGGGCCTGGGGCGTGTGGCAGCCAGTGGCTCGGGGGAATCCGTAGCACGTGGCTGCAGCCCATTTGGTTCCGGTCCTGCCACTGTGCCAGCCTGCCACGGCCTCCTGCCTGTAGTTTATCCCCACCCCCAACTTCTACTGAGTTGATTAAACCTTCATGGTCTCTGTGCCCGAGTCCCCCTGGGTGGAAACACTTGTCTTGTCCCTAGGGGGTGGTGCCTCTGACCCCGCCCACTTCTGTGGCACACCCACTCCCATGGTCCCCCCACTCCCGTGGCCACGCCCACTCCCTCCATTTCCAGGCCGCCTCCCTCGGACTTACCTCTAGCCCAGCTTCTTTCTGTTTCCACTTTGTTCACCGTTCACCGCCTTACCTGCCTCAGTCACCAGCACTGTCCTCTGAATTCAAGTCACCCCCAGGGACGAGGAGTTGGGAAGATGGGAGAATAGTAAACAATGGGCATCTCATTTGGAGGCAGTTTCAGAAAGGCAGCATTGAGGACGGTGGGCCACCATGATTCTAGTCAAAGGTGGGGCAGGAGGAGATTGAAGGGGCCAGGGCACAGACCAGGTGTGAGGAGGAGTGAGGAAGTAGGAGGGGCCAGGAGATGGACCAGGTGTGAGGAGGTGGGAGGGGCCAGGAGATGGACCAGGTGTGAGGAGGTAGGAGGGGCCAGGAGATGGAC